GAACTCAGATACTTCCGTAGACCGCTGGCCTTCAGGAACCTGCTAACCTTTCCTTGTGAACCCTTATGGCTACGGCATTTGCCAATTCCTACTTCCCTGGTCTTTGCTCTTGTCTCCATGATGACGGAGAATACAATGGACAGGAACACACTAAAGAGTCAGAATGGCTTGGGTTCAAATACAGTAAGGTAACTGGGGTGGCCACACAAATCTTGAGTCCCCCAGTTTCTTCAGCAAAATGCAGACACAAGTACTGACCCTTCACGAACTACAATTAGAGAAAATTAAGATTAAAAAAAAAATAATGTTTTAAAAAACCCTGACAGCAGTGATGCACGCCTTTAATCCCAGCACTTAGGAGCCAGAGGCAGGCGGATCTCCGTGAGTTCGAGGCCAGCCTGGTCTACGAATTCCAGGACAGCCAGGGCTACACAGAGAAACACTGTCTCTAAAAACAAAAAACAAAACAAAACAAAACAAAAAGTTAAAGAAATTTTAAAAAGATTCACTACATCAGCCTCCCAGCACAGAAATAATAGAAGTTAACCAGGGATTTCCTTCCTTGGCCAAGCACCCACCTCCTCCAGGAAGCCTTCCCATGCATTCTAGGTTGCTACCTTGTCTTCTCTCAGCGCGCTGACGCCAGAGTTCTAAGTTCTCAGTTTCTCTTTTTTTTTTTTTTTTTTTTTTTTTTTGGTTTTGTTTTTCGTGACAGGATTTCTCTGTGTATCCCTGGCTGTCCTGGAATTATCCTAGAACTGGCACTGTTGACCAGGCTGTCCTTAAAACTCACAAGAGATCCGCCCCCCTCTGCCTCCCGAGCGCTGGGATCACAGGCGTGGGTGCCACCACCGCCCAGCCTCAGTTTCATTTTTAAAAGACTGTGTGTGAACATGTATGCACACAGGATGCCCACACCTGTGAGCAAGCACAGACTCCAGAAGAGAGTGCCACGGGTCCTCCTCTATCACTCTCCACCTATTCCTTTGAGGCAGGGTCTCTCCCTGAACCTGGCACTTATATAGAGGCTAGGCTCTTAACCATTCCAGCCCATTTCCTTACTGAATTTTCTCTTTCTTTCTATTTCCAGCCAGTCTACAAGGAGCTCAGTCCCAGACCTGCCTCACAGAGGCTTACTGGAGGTGCTTTTAACTTGCGAGGTTGCACAGAACTCTGGGAAAGGATGAATATCTGGAGGCAGAGACCTACTGAGGAGTCCTAGCTCTCCTCTGTAAATTTCTAGCAAAACACCCAATTCTCCAAGCCTCAGATTCGTCATCTGGAAAAGACGTATTGAAATGTCTACCCCAGGACAGGCAAGATGTTCAGTGGGTAAAGATGCTTGCCACCAAGTGTGACAACCTGAGATGACACCTAGTACTCACACAAGTGGTCTTCTGATTGCCATACACACACCACGACACATGCACACCCTCTCCCAGTAAGTAAGTGGGTATAAAATTGTTATTTTTAAATTTTATGTGTGTGGGTGGTTTGCTTGCATATATATTTGTGTATCGTGTGTGTGCCTGACACCTTCAGAGGCCAGAAGAGGGTTTGGTCTAGATGCCCTGAAACTGGAGTTAAGGACTGTTGGGAGTCACCATATAGGCGCTGGGAACCAAACCTCAGTACTCTGGAAGAGCAACAGTGCTCTTCATCACTGAGCCAGCTACCTCCCAGCCTGATATATTTTTAAAAAAGTAAAGAAAAGAAAAGTCTCGGGTTGGGGATTTAGCTCATTGGTAGAGTGCTTGCCTAGCAAGCACAAGGCCCTGGGTTCAGTCCTCAGCTCCAGGGAAAAAAAGAAAAAAGGAAGGAAGGAAGGAAGGGAAGGGAAGGGAAGGGAAGGGAGAGAGAGAGAGAGAGAGAGAGAGAGAGAGAGAGAGAGAGAGAGGAGAGAGAAAGGAAGAAAGAAAGAAAGAAGGGTCTATCTGATGTAATTGCTAGGAAAGACAGAGGAGCCCACATACGTGAAAGGCCTTTTGTTATAAACGAAAGAAAAAGCACTACACATCTACACATACTCTTTTCTTTCTTTTTTCCTTTTTAGTTTTGGTTTTGGCTTTTTTTGAGACAGTTTCTCTGTGTAGCCCTGGCTGTCCTGGAACTAGCTCTGTAGATCAGGCTGGCCTTAAACTCAAGAGATTTATCTGCCTGCCTCTGCCTCCCAAGTGTTGGCTTGCATTACCACTGCCTGGCTATGAATTTTTTTTTGTTTTTGTTTTTGGTTTTTCAAGACAGGGTTTCTCTGTGTAGTTTTGGAGCCTGTCCTGGATCTCACTCTGTAGACCAGGCTGGCCTCGAACTCACAGAGATCCTCATGTCTCTACCTCCTGAGTGCTGGGATTAAAGGCGTGCGCCACCACTGCCCGGCTTAAGATTTTATTTTATTTTATTTATTTTTTTTTTTTTGTTTTTCGAGACAGGGTTTCTCTGCATATCTTTGCGCCTTTCCTGGAGCTCACTTGGTAGCCCAGGCTGGCCTCGAACTCACAGAGATCCGCCTGGCTCTGCCTCCTGAGTGCTGGGATTAAAGGCGTGAGCCACCACCGCCCGGCTAAGATTTTATTTTTAATTATGTGTGTGTATATGTGGGTATGTATATATGAACGCAAGTGTAGGTGGAGACAGAAGAGGGGGTCAGATCCTTTGGAGCTGGAGTTACATACATGCAGTCGTGAGCTGCATGATATGGGTGCTGGGAACTCAACTCAGGTCCTCTGCAAGAGCACTTAACCACTGAGCCACCTCAATAGCCACCATCACCCCTCTTTTTCTTTAAGACAAGGTCTCAAGTTGGGCATGGCTGGCAGATCTCCGAGTTCAAGGCCAGCCTGGTCTACGTCTACACAGAGAAACCCTGAAGGGGGGGAGAAGAGAGAAGAGAGAAAAGAGACAAGGTCTCACTATGTAGCCCAACTTGGCCTGTAAGTCATAATTCTCTTGCCTCCAACTCCTGAATGCTGGGAGGTATGTATCAGAAATCCTGGTGTTTGTATGCACACATGCATGTACATACACACAGACACACATGTACAAAATGCTATAAACAGACTATCATTTTAAGGGTCTCCAACCTACCAATGATTGCACTGTCTCATACCTAAGAATCAAGAGATGAGCTCATCCTATCAAACTGGCCTCCAAAAAACTTCAACAAGCTACATTTCAAGCAGTCGTCTAAGTTGGTTATAGCTCACAGTAACCATTAAACAGACATTATGGCAACCTAGGAATCACAAGGCCCCGCTCTCATCCTCAGATTCCTTTCCTCCTGAAAATGGAGATTCCAAGTTAGATAACTAGTTAGGAATCCTAGCTGGAAATTTCCAGCAAGATACCCAATTCTCTAAGCCCTCAGCTCCTTGGGTGGAAAAATGTCTACCGGGCATAACTGCCATGAAGGGCAGATGAGCCCACATACGCCCAGCTCAGGACACACACACACACACACACACACACACACACACACCACACACACACACCACACACACCACACACACACCGTCCAGAACCTGTTTCACCCAGGTTTAGGCCTGGCCATCATTTCTAGCTTGCAGGAGACTTCTATGGGAAAAAAGAACTGCGAAGACATCAGGGAGGGTATGGTTGTATCCGTGGTGGGGGAGTCTGGTAGTAGAAGGGAAAGATTCTGCTGGAATTTCATGTCCAACATAGTTGCTAAATGTACTATAATTATCCCATTTGTGTAAAAATTCAAGGATCTGCATTCTGCTATTTTCATCAAACTGGATGAAATGCAGGCAACTCGGGAAAAATGGCAAGAAGTTGGGGGTTCTGATTCTTGTGCCCCAACGCCAAAGTCCTGGCTAACAACTAAAAAACAGAATCCCCCATCACTTTGCTCTGGGCCCCCAAACACCCCCAGACTTAAAGCCTCTGCCCTGCAGGCCCCAACCTTCCCCATCAATGTCTTGTTGGCACCTCAGCCATCCTGTTCTGTCAAGAAGGAACTCCTTCTACAGGATCCCCACTCCTGGGGCATGGGGGGATGGGGCTTTGTCTCTGTGCAGGACCCCTCCCCCCGCCCAAGCCGGGCACTTTAGCAACACCTGAACCTGAGGGTGTCGAAGCGGGAAAGAAAAAGAGTTATGAGTGGCAGAGGGGACCTTCTGCCCGCTGAAGGGAGTGGGGGTTTGTGGGGGATGGAGGTAGAGTCGGCTCTGCTTCTTCAGGGTCCCAGACCTGCCAGGGCGCCCCTCAGTCGCCACAGTCCCGGCACCCTGCAGTCCTCCTGAATTCCCTGCCTAGTAACTGCCCACCCCGGAGGCCTCTGAGGCCAGTGACGGATGCCACGACCGGAAATGCCCTCCTGCTCAGCCGACCCAGACCGCGCCCCCCTTTCCTGCCGCCCCCTCCCCCAGGGCTAGGCCCGCAGGCCCTGGATCCCCGGACTCGCGTGGCCGCCGTAACCGACTGGGGCGACCCATCAGCCGGCCATTGTCCCTGGCCCTCGCCGCGGCCCCTCCACCTCTAGGCATTGCGGAACCAAAGCGAATACAAAAGGAAAGGGGGAATCCCCACTGCCAGCCTCGGACCACCCCCCCCCTTGCAGTGGGATTCGCAAAGCATCCGTGCACCTCCAAAGCTCCAGACCCAGGGGAGACTGCTCCCCACCACCGCGACAGAAGAAAATCCCAAGGCATCCCCCTGGGGGCTGCAGTGGGGACCCAATCTCCCAGGCGGCAGGTGCCCGGCCACACAATAACTTTGAAACTTTGGGGTAGGGGTACGGGGATCTGCAGAGAGATCCCCCCCAAAAAAATAGTTCATGGCAATGGGGGTGCTATTGCTTTATTCTTGCAAAGCCGCCTTTCCAGGTGGCCGGGCCCCGACTTCCCGCGCCTCCTCCGCGCGCGGCCCTGCCCTGCCCTATCCCGGGCGCCCCAGCCTCGCGCGCCCCAACCTTGCGCGCCACCGGGGACGCGGTGGCTCGGCCTCTGCCCCGCGGGGCTCCGCCGCGCCAAAGCACTCACCTCGGCCGGGCTGCGCTCCCCGCGGGCCTGCGCCGAGCCCGATAAATGGTATGCTATGACTAGAGGTATGATTACGTTATTATTATTAGTAATAATAAGAGTAAATGCTATTTAATTACGGGCGGCCGCATCCTGCTCCCGGCGCCGCCGCCCGGGCAGCTCGGTCCATGTGGCTCCGGAGCGCTTTACTTTCATTTCCAGCCCCCTCGGCCGGCCGCTCGCGGCAGCACCCGCTGGAGGCTCCGTCTCCCTGCAGCTCTCCCTCCTCGGGTCCTAGAGAGCGCAGCTCCTCCTCGCCTCGTCGCGCCCGGGGTGGGCGGCGCGGGCTGCGCACCTGGGGGGGAAGGGGTGGGGAGTCGGGAAGCCCCCCTTCCCCGTGGACGGTTCATGCCTGGAATTCACCTTGATTTTTTCTTTTAAACATGCCCTTCCTTTTCCGGGCTTTTCTTCCGACAGTTCTGCATTTCTGGGAGGATGCTGGACCAACCCAGAGCCTCTGTGTCCACCACCACCACCCCAGTCCGAGGGAAAAGCCACCCTCGGCTTTCCAGGTGCTTCTCCAAGCCCCCGGTGGTGGTGTGCCCTTTTCGTTGGTAAGGAGTACTCGGTCAGTCTCATTTGGCTGGGGTTTCATGTATGAAAAGTTAAAGGGAGAAAAAAAAATCAAGGACACTTGTTTAAGAAAGCGAGACTAATTTTATTCAAGGAAGGGCCCATCATGGTGGGTTTAGGGACCATTGTAGTGGGTGAATTCAACGTGAACAACTAGGAATTCATAGGTGAGGAGCAAGGCAGGATCAGCAGACACAAATCTAAGAAGTTATCAAGATGTGATTTTGGCTAGCCCACTTAATAGGATTCTTTTTAAATATTTTTAAATTCAGGTGTTTTTTTGTTTTTGTTTTTGTTTTGTTTTGTTTTGTTTTGTTTTTTGTTTTTTTTGTATGTATGGGTATTTGGGCTGCAGGTAGGTGTCCCTGGTGGCTGGCAGAGGCCAGAAGAGGGCGTCAGATCTCCTGAAACTGGAGGTAGCTGTGAACAGACAGCTGTGTGGGTGCTGGGAATCTAAGATGGATCCTCTGCAAGGGCAGCCAGAGCTCTTAACTGCTGAGCTGTCTCCCTTAGAAACTGGTCAGGTACTGGAACGTCACCTTGAGGAACAGTAGAAGCTGAGGACCCTGAGAGATAGATATTCATGGTATTCAGAGATGAGAGGTAGAAATCTAGAAATCCCTATTCTAGTTTATCAGGATTCTTGCTAAAATTTAGACATTTGGGCCAGACCTGGTAGCACATGCCTTTAATCCCAGCACTCAAAGAAGCAGAGGCAGGCCGGATCTCTGTGAGTTTGAGGCCAGCCTGATGTTAGCAAGTTCCAGGATAGTCAGGACTACATAGAGAGATGCTATCTCAAAAAATAATGATAAAATGATAATAATTTTTTAAGTAAAATAAAATTCAGACAATTCAGAGATAAATGCAGAAACCCAAAAGTCCAGGCCTCGTGGAAAAGTTCAGGGAAGCCTAAGTAGAATTCTATCATAGAAAGTCTCTTTGTTGGGGATCTTTCTAGAAGGGACTTAAAGTTGCCAAGAGGACCGAGGTAAAGGAGAGTCTAACCAAACAGATCTTGTGTAAGTATCTGTGGTCCTGCCTCAGAACCGGTAATAGACAGGCTGGATTTGAGTCCAGATTTTTTTTTCCCCCAGAACTGAGGACCGAACCTAGGGGCCTTGCACTTGCTAGGCAAGCACTCTACCACTGAGCTAAATCCCCAACCCCGAGTCCAGATCTTTTGATTCCAGATCGTGTTTCTCCTGCACAGTGAGCACCTGGCCTGTTGATTCCTGAAGGACCCGCCCCCAGTAAGTGGCCGTTCTCTTTCCTCCTCTTCATTTTCTACACACGCAGGTGGATGTATATTTAATTTATTGAGGATCAGCCGTGAGCCTGGCAGACTTCATCTTTACGAACATTATCTCTTCGACAAACACTTGCGCCAGACATACCCTTGGGAGCTACGGCTGTAACAGGGAGACGGATTTTAAACATTGAAATACGCTATGGCAGGCGCCCAAGACGGACAAGAATCTAGGGCTGTGTCTTCTTATTCAGTTCATGAAAGAATCCCAGAACGTGGGTCTTAGCACGCCCATCTCACAGATAGGTAACTGAAGCCCAGAGGTTAAGCTGTCTGAGGGGGCAGCGCTGACTCCAGACTTTGGGTATCATGCGTGACCTCTGGTAGTTTCTAATAACTGTCTTTTTAGGGCAAGTTGGAAAGGGAACAAATACTCATATGCTTTCCTTTTTCTTTTCTTTTTGAGACAGGATTTCCTCTATGTAGCCCTGGCTGTCCTGGATCTCACTCTGTAGACCAGGCTGGCCTCGAACTCACAGAGATCCGCCAGTCTCTGCCTCCTAAGTGCTGGGATCAACTGTGTGCCACCATGCTCTGCCTGCTCCTGCGCTTTAAAAGATCTTCAGCTCTTCTCTGTGTGGCTGCCTTCTCCCTCCTCACTACCTTGAGATTAGCAAGCAAAAAAACCCCAAACTCTGGGATGAGGAGGAGGGGCAATCTCAGACGCAAAGGCATAGTCCAGTGGCTCTCAGATGTCACTGATGTTTATGTGAAAACAAGCCCTGAGTCACTTGGGATAGACTGAAGATTATGGGCTCAAAGCAGTGACCATCTTGTGCCTGGCAACTTGAGTGTGTGCATGGGAGGTGGGGGATTCTGGGTAACGTGATGAGACTCACCTGGCTAACCTGCCGTTTGTTGACTGACCTCAAGCAATCTTCCAGTATCCGCTACTTCATATCTAGAATCAATATTTAAAAAACGGAACCAGCCAGGCGGTGTGGCCGACACCTGTGGTGGAGGCAGGAAGCAAGGGAATCGGGCATGTGAGACCGGCTTCGGCTAGCCCAAATTCTAGCCCCCAATAAAGACTGAACAGTGGCAGCTCTCCCAAACCTCCTGTGCGACTTACACTGAGGGATCCCTGCCAGCTTACCACCTCAGGCACCGTTGTTAATTGCACTCTCATTTCAGGGATAAGCATACAGAAGCCAGTTGGATTACCACATCCTGCCTCAGATGAATTAGCTGGCAGGAGGCCTGAAGATTCTGCCATCCCAAGCTACTGGTGAAATACCAGATATCCTTCAAAGAGGAGTGTCTGTCAATTAAGGGAGATTTGGCTGGGTGAGAGCTTCTAAAGTTTTCAGTAAGACATCAGTTTGTTAGACTGGACGGCCAGATACACCCCTCCCCCAGAGGTGGGGTGCTTTGAAGAACAGTGCCAAGATTTTCACACCAGTAGATTGTTTTCTGAGGAGTCCTGATGTTCAGCTGTGAGCCTGTATGTCCTCGTGTCAAAGCCGAAGTAACATTAATAACCACTACCTATTTATCCTGAGCAAAGACATGCACATGTCGAGTCTCACCATTTTAAAAGCCCTGTGGGGTAGGGGTTGTTTTTAACCCACTTTCAGGTGAGGAATAGACACAAGCAGTTAATGACTAGATCAAGGTCACACACATCTAAGGAGGAGACAGGGGCATGATCCAGTTTCAGACTTGTTACCTGTCCTATAAGCCATGACCACTGTACCAGGATGGGGACATCTCAATTCTGGATCTGTCACTCATTACTCTCCAGGACTTGAGTGAGCTGCTAGAGGTGGGAATCCAAGGCTCATGCTCTGGACCTTGAGGAACTGACAAGTATATCATTCATGTAGTTTTTCAGTGAGCACCTCTGTACCAGGCTTGGACCCTGTTATCCCCTCCGAGAGCCTGAGCACATGGCAACCTTAGTTGAAGTTGTGTTCAGGTTTGTTTACTCGTTCAACAATCATTCATTACCAGGTGCCAGGACCCACAGCTCTAGCACAGTCCCCGATCGTGGCCCTCCCACTAAAGATCTTAACTTGGTGACACTTAGGGAAGGATCAGGATCTGTTTACAAAGTTAGCCTTCGGTTCCTTCTTCCTCCTCCATAAATCGGGTGTGTGGTGGACTGAATGTGTCCACACATTGAAACCTCAATGTAATGGCAGTGTGAGGTGAGACTTTTGGGCGATAACCAGTCCATGTGGGTGGAGTTCCCATGAGCAGGATTAGTGCCCTTATAAGAAAAGACGCCAGAGGAGATTGCAGGTGAGGGTGCATCCGGGCGTGGTCATCTCTAAGCTAGGAAAAGGGCTGTCTGCACACCAAAAGCCTGACCCCGTGGTACCTGATCCTGGCCTTTCAACGTTCCAGATCTGAATAAATGCTCTATGTCTCTAAAGTCCTCCACCCGATGGTACTTGTTAATACAACCTATGGTACTTGTTAATACAACCTATGGTACTTGTTAATACAACCTATGGTACTTGTTAATACAACCTATGGTACTTGTTAATACAACTTGAGTTATCCTGGGGAGGCGGGGGAGGCATAAGATACATAGTCACACATGGCTTAGCAATGGGGACACATTTTGAGAAATCCATTGCTAGGTGATTTTTATCATCTTGCAAACATTATAGAGTGTACTTACACAAACCTAGACGACAGAGCCTACAGCATACAGAGACTACACGGTGTATGCTGTCTCATGTGTTGTTCATTGTCACTGGAAACCTCATTATGGTGACTGTTCTTTTCCTATAGGGACTATGATGATTAATTGGGTGGGGGGCAGGGTCACACTATGTAATCTTGGCTAGCCTCAAACTCATAGAGACCTAAGTGCTGCAATTAAAGGCAATGACCCAGCTCGATTATTACTTTTATTATATATATATATATATATGGATTAAAAAACAGAACAAAACAGGGCCTTATGCATGTGAGTCATACACTTATCACTGAACTACACTCTCAGTCTCTGTGAAGGTGAATTTTAGGTGTAACATGAACAGGCTGTAGAGTGCCCAGACATTTGACAAAAAAAAAAAAAAAAAAAAAAAAAAAAATTAATAATGTCCACCATCATTCTGGGCATTTCTGTGAGCATGTTTTCTAGATGAGGTTAGCATTTCATTTGACAGCCTGAGGAAAGCAGATTGCCCTGTGTAAGGGAGAGGGGCCTCACCCAATCAGTGGGAGGTCTAAACAGGACATCCAGGCCTCCTCTGTGTCTTCAAGCTGGGACACTGGATTTTGTTTTCTGTCTTGGTCTCCAGGTGAAACATTACCTCTTCCCTGAGCCTGCTCACTACACTGCAGTGATGCCATCAACTTCCTTGAGTCTCCAACTTGCTAAATGCAAATCTTAGGA